TAATAGCTTCATCATAGCAATGGACTGTTAGAAGATTGATCTGATCAAAGTTAATTAGCCTTGTTTTTTGCGAAGCAATCCATTAACTTTTTCGTTGTGTATATGAAAGATCAAAAATTTCATCATACTTTGTAATTAAATATAGACAAATTAAAGATGTGTCTATATTAACAGAGTTATGAACTGAGATATTGTTATAATTTATAGGGATTGGTGCACATTTAGAAACTTCTTTACTAATACATATTGCAAAGTAGATCGGAGCTGAGAGGGATACGGTATCTGGACATCTTATTGTATGTATATTATGGTAATTGTCAAGATTATATATAAAAAGACTATTGTTTTAATAAAAAAAATATATTTTAAAAGATTACAATTCAAATTATAACAATTATTACAGCACTACGGTTATAGGGTTTTGACTAAAGATACAAAAAACCGAATCGGCTTAATCGATCATCTTTAATCTTAAGCATCGATAGTAAGTTATTAAAATTTACCTTGTCAAAAAAATACTCCTGGATATTTTTTAGATACACATTTGCTAATTTTTTTCTATAGTTTTTAATAGTTTTGTAACAAACTAAAAGACCAGCTTTGTGCATCATATTAATTGCATCATACGAAGCACCAGATGCTGCAAGGTATAACCCAATTTTTAGAGGGTAGCTATTTACAAACTTATTTCATATCCCTGCTATTGAATAGCATATATTAACAACTTTTTTTTTATCTTCTTTTTTATTATAAACAGATCACCTGTTCAGAATAAATGCGTTATATAATTCATTAAAAAATCTTTTTAATGATGGTTCTGCATTTTCAAGCATATTTCAAAAATTATCTGGATCTAATTCGAGTGTTTGATTTTCTTTTCTTTGTTTTTCATATAATACTTTTGTCATCAAAGCAATCTTATCACCAAAAGATAACGGTTTAGAGACTATGATATTGGGCATATTATTAGCCAGTAAAGCATTATTATTCTTACGATTAGAAGATTCGGTGATATATGTGCTGTTAGTAGATGACATATTTTTATCATAGCAATCAGGTTCAATGACGCTTAAATAATGAGGATAACATAATTGCATTTTGATTTCTAAATAATTATATTAATTAAGAATATCTTTTGCTTTGATTTTTGCTAGTGCATAATTAGTAATTCTATGATATTGATTCGAATTTGTCTGACAATTACGAATTGAACAAGGACCGTGATTTTTTTTTGGAGGCATTGTATATCTTAACACAAAGTAAATAACTAATTGCACAAGAATTGTTATAAATTAATAAGTATTAATATTTTTTTTTTATTTTTAGAAAAATTTATTATAATAGTGAATAAAGAACTCTGAAATTTACAAAGTTTAAAATAGGTTAAATCATGATCTTTTTATATTTTAGAGATACAAGAAGCATAAAGATTTTGCTTATTATATTTGTCACTATATACTAAAAAAAATTTTCTATTTTTTTGTCTAGAATTCAATGATCGCTAATTAACAAGCTTTTTTTCTTTTCTTTTCTAAATTTAGGTTCCTTCACATTTATCAATTTTTCTACCAAGCCTTCAACATATCTATCGATTTTTCTACCAAGCCTTCGACACATCTATCGATTTTTTTATCAAGCCTTTGATACATCTATCGATTTTTCTACCAAGCCTTCGACACATCTATCGATTTTTCTACTAAGCCTTTAACGATTCTATATATAATCCCAATTGTTGATTATCTTGGGTCATGATCTTCACTTATGGTATCTTAATTAGCATTGTATTATTATCACGTTTCAGAATCCCTTTTTTCATAAAAGTATATATTATTTTAGAGCATTTTTTATTCAAAATTTTTTTACAAGTTTTTACTTATTATGAGTGCTGCTAAGGGAAAACCTATAATCAGGCTTCCAATTATATTTTGTGTCTAGCTTGTTCCTAAGTGCCGTCTAGAGAAAATTTATCAATTATATTTTTTACAAAATATAATTGAAAATTCAATAATAGACCTTTTTGGATGATACTTAAGAAACAAACTAGACACAAAATATAATTTAAAGCCCCGATTGTAGATTTTCCCTTAGCAACACTCATATTTGAAAATAATTTCATATATTTCAATTTTATATAATTTAATACTTTATATAGTTGCACTCTTTGTTACAGTTAGCTCTTCCAAATCTAAACCCTTAAAACTGAACACAAAAATTTGTAAATTTTATTATGAAGTTCGGATTAGTGACACAGTAACTCTGAGAACTGAACTTTTTAATACTTTATATATAATAAGAACAGACTGTTCAGGATAGGGAGAATTGACTGTATTCTGAATTTTTTGTAAATTTTTGAACAAACACACTTTATCTGATAATCAAGATTCTTTTATTATAAATTCGAAAAATGAAGTAATAAAAATATTAATTGCAATAATGTATAATATAATACTTGTGAAAAAAAATAAATTTTTGTAATATTTTATAGTAAAATAAAAGTGTACTTGGATACTAAGCAAAATCTTGATATGTATAACAGGTATATACTATTCTTTACACCATTTTGCGGGCAAATTAAGCTATCAGATTATATTGAATTGTAGTCTAAATCATAGTATATTCGTATGTGCGTAATAATAATCTATTTTTATTGGTTAAATATCATGTAGTTACATGAAATCAGTATTTTTGTAGATCACAAATATTGCCTAATCAAAACAAACTTCCATCATACTGGCTGATTTAGATGATCTAAATACTATTAGAATAATAAAAACCTTTTCTACAACTTTAATTAAAAGTCCAAAGAAGATTAGCTTATTAAAAACTTCTTTAATTAACCAATTAAATTTAAAAAAATAATTTTTAAAACTTAAAGAAGTTTTTAATAAGCTAACTTCTCTTGGGCTTCTAATTAAAGTTATAGAGGAAGTTTTTATAGTTCTAATAGTATTTAAATCATCCAAATTGGTCTAGTAAATCCCAAGATATTTGTAATCTACATTAGAATCATAAAAACCTTCTCTACAACTTTAATTAGAAGCCCAAGAGAGGTTAGCTTATTAAAAACTTTTTTAAATTTTAAAAAATTATTTTTTAAAATTTAATTAGTTAACTAAAAATAGATTTTTTTATTATACTATAGTAAAAATAGCAAAAAGCCATGGTGGAAATAGTAGCTTTCTATTTTTTATACAATAAAATTAGTTAATATAATAATTATTTATTTTCAAATTTTTGTATATATAGTATATAATAATAATAGATAAAATTTATTATATATGATTATTAAATATTATAATCAACTCTCTATAAATATATTTCTTTTAAAACTATAGATAAAATTTTTAAAAATATAATTTAAAAAAGGTATATATTTATATAGTAATAGTTATATTTATACAGTGTGGAATAGTATAAACCAACACCCTCTGTGCCAAATTTTGAAATAAATACTCAATTCTGATTGGCTAGTATAATGTGATCAATTGTGATTGGTCAAAAATTATATATGAGTTTCTTTTTTTTTATATATTAAACGCCAAATTTTTAATTTTATAGTAAACTTTAAATTGATATAACCTTTAAAATTAAAATAAAATAAAAAATCTTTTTTAACCAAATTGTAGCTTAGCCTTAAAGCTACAAATTGGTTAAAAAATTTTTTGAAAAAAGTTTTTTATTTTTAAGTTATATCAATTTTTGTAAAATACATATAAAAAGAGGTTGGTTTATGGTGTCCCGCACTGTATAAAAGTTTATATTTTTATATATATATAAATTTGTATATACTATATATAAATTTAAATTGTCAAATTAGAGATAGAAATCAGCTATATGATTTAGTCAATTAAATTGACTAAACATAGTAATTTATATATAAATTTTTTAGTCGACTAAATCGATTCCTATTCCTATGTCAAATTATTTCCTTATATTATAAAAATCAAAAAAAATTATTATAGCATAAATATCTATTTTTTAAAAGTATATTTAAAAGTTTATTAATAAGATACAAATAGATATAGCAGAGCCTTTAATTAAGCAATGACTAAATTTGTATATATAACTAATTGTATTTTTATTGATATAACAAAGTCAAAGGGTACCTATTCGGTATCTTGATAATTGACCTGTGAAGTTAATAAATGTGCTAGACCCCAAGTAGTCATCTTAATATATAAAAAAAAAAAGTTTATTAATATTAAATTTTGTATTATTATAACTAATTTCTAATTCATATAATTCAATAATAACTAAAATATTCATACTTAATACTTGTTGTGAATCATAATTTAAAATAAAATTTACATTTTCTACTCAACTTGTTAACTTTCTAAAATCTACTTATACTTGTTTATTATAACTTTACTTTAAAACTAACCTCTAACCCTAGCTTCTATTCCTAAAAAATGCATCTTAAAAATTTTATTTTTTGAGATTTTATATTATAATTTCATTTTAATCTGAATTTTATTATAATCTACTATAGTAATTAACTTTTCACTTAGTTTTATATATAAATATTATTTGAAATAATTTTTTTGCAAAATTTAGATTTAAATTATTATTATTTTTTTTTTTTGGTATTAAGGTGGCCTCTTGGCCGGCTCCTTTTATTCGGTTATAGTTAACTTTAC